AGTGAGACCAGCCTTATTTTGTTGACCAAGAGTAGTCTTTCTTTGAGATTGTCTTTGATCAAGAGGGGAAAGGGACTGTAGAGAGCCTTTGGTGTTTCAATGGGAAACTATAGCATGCTCTTTTGGATTACCGGATTCTGACCCTATTCATTGCCTTTGAGCTATTTTGCACCTCTGTGAACTGCAGGTAGCTGATTGATATGCAAACTCTATCTCGTCTTATAGACACTTAATTAGCTTCTTTTCCCACTGTAGATAAACTAGTGGTGATACCTACTTATAAATCAGATTTGAATCTTTTACTTTAGAGAGATTGTCAGCCCTTACCAAATTTTCAATTCTTGCAGATTCCTTCAATAGCTGGCTGTAACTTTTCAAACTAACCTGTACAACTTTTCTCCCTTTTTCCTGACTTCAAGTCACTGAGAACCAAAACACGATTTCCCAGATCCTTATTCGGACTCTAGGTTGCTTTGTCACTGGCCTTTTCCCCCAGGATCTGAATAAACACTGCAGCAGTCCATGCGTGAATCTGGTTGCCCTCCAGACAAGCTGCTGTCTGGGTCACTAAGAAAGTCTGGTGAAATGCTCAGGTCGTGTATCCCCTGATAAGGGAGATAACCCGAGCTCTGAGTAACATAATTAAGATCACGATATGACTCAGGGAGCAGTGCTGCACAATGAAACGATTTCATCCACTGACCTCCTGAATTTCACTAGATTGGATACTCTTAGCGTTTGACTTCTGGCTCTTTAATACATTCCTTTATGCTAACATTTATCTTTTTTTTAATTTTAGGCATCCCATTTAAGAACACTGAAACAATTGACCTCTGCCTGCACTCCAAACAGATGATTCAATTGGTCTTCTAGGGACATCACTGAGAATATGGTGGCCCTGAGGTCTATCTCACTCAGCCATCCGCTGTTTGAGTTATTCCTTATCCTTGAATTGTCCATGAAGAGTCTCTCTGAGCCCACCTTGAACAAAGAGAGGGACTGACAAGGCTGAGGCAACTTTATGCTTCATATAAGTTTAGGCTGCTTTGCTGAGAACCACTAGGTCCCAACTCTGCAAACTTCCTGCATTTTTGCTTGTTTACTTCAACTGAGACCAGAATCCCAAGTCCTTGTGCCTGAGGACACAACTTTCCTGCCTCAACTTTTCTACTAGTACAACACTGGATGCAGTTCATTATGTTTCAAGGCACCTTCCGCACACCAGCTGTTAGCATGACATCCTTCTGCTTTGCACAGGCACCTATCCCCGGGTCTCTGCTTACAGAAACTTTGCTTGTCCCCCCGCTCCACCCCCCCCCCCACCTGCCTGACACTGCTCTGGCTCAGGCTTCGAGCATCTCTCTGCAATAGTCTCATTCAATAATACCTCTCCTTACTCGGGTCCAGACTTAACTTTTTTTTTTTTTCTTGACAATTTCTTTGGCAAAAGATATCATTTAGGATTTGATTTTTGGAAAGTAAAATACAAAAAGTAGTCAGGAAATTTGAACACTTGATTAAGTAGGATCGTGGATTACTGAGAAATAATAGTTGGTTACCTAATTAGCCAAAATGAAGATACAAATTTAAAAGTAGGCATAGAAGGGACGTGACTATAAAGAACTCCAGTTCTTTTTAAGTGAAAAGACTTTGTTCTCTCGAGTAATTAAAGATATGATAAAGTCAACCCAAAGTATAGGAAATGAGTCTAATAAGACCCTGAATAGTTGTTTTCTAGGCAGATTATAAAGGTAAAGAAAAATATTTTTTACAAGCACTTATTAAGAAAACACCAGTAATCCAAGAAAAAAAAAATGTCATTTTAATAGAAAGAAAACCAAATGCTCGTTTTGAAACAGCATATTTGGTACTAACACTCTTATTAAAAATCTTATATTTAAATTAAAAAAAAGAAATGGAAAAAAAGATTCATAAAAACAATCTTATAAATAAGCCCATCAGCCTTAGCCAGCTGTGACTCTAAGAAATACAATTCCTTTTCCGTGAACTATCTACAACTTTCTCTATCCAGACAAGTTTGTCATACACTTGTCTCTCATATTACACAAGTTATTTAGTTATTTTACTTTGGAACAAAGCTACTCTTGTTTTTCTTAACAAAATACCCCCTGCACACTTCATGTGCAAAGTTGCTCCTCTCTGCTACTATCACTCCTGTTAGAGTCTCATTCACATATACTGATTCTAAGTTTTCACTACAGCCACTTCTACTGCATATAGAAAACCAGGAGACGGTGTAAGAGAAGAGTTATTCCCAGGGAATGTGTTAAAGCCGCGAGGCAGATCTTATTAGAACTACTGCAGTAGAGGAGAGAGACTTTGGTATCCCATTCCCATGCAGCACAGACAGCTGGAGGTCTCAGCCAAGGAGCCAGTGAGGGGGTGAGTGGATAGGAAATTACTAAGAGGAACTTGGTTAGATACCAAAGTAGGGGGATTCTTGCTAAACTGGCTTCACAGGATTCTTACTAAAAGCAGGTGCCAAGGACTTAGATATCTAGGGCAGGGTATGAGGAGCTTGATCAGATATCAAGGATGATCCCATATGAAGGGGGGCAAGTGTCAATTAACTAGCTTAGGATTCATTGCTAAAGTGGGGGCTCAGCAGGCCAAGGTCGAGCCTCGTCTAGAAGAAGGCTCACAGGAGCCTAACTAAAGTTTGGTCAAGGAAGGAGTATCTGATAGTAAATAACTGTAAACTGTCTTTCATACACCAGTATTTTCTAGCAGACTAGCAAAGTTTATAAATATACATCTCAACATCTCATAATTTTTATAATCATAAGCGTTCCTTATAGGTACAGCTTCTCAATGTGGCAAAAATGAACACGTGCATTAACAGACCCAAATAGATAGCCTCTCTGTATTAGAGAAAAGTAAAAGTCCAAAAGTATATAAAATGAAATTGTATTCGGCAATTAATGCTTCAATTTTTTCTCTTACTTAGATAGGATTTAGGTGTCTAATGAATATTCATAAATTAAGTCAATTTAGCATCAGTCCAAGGTTTTAAGCTACCAATTCATTTTGGACACTGTCTTTAAGCTGACATACTGCAAAATATAATTACTTTGAAATAAAGTTTGTCCAAATAATGACTTAATTTGACTAATACAAATGTACATTTTTATAATCTTAAAATATAGTAACTGAGATGATAGTGTATTAAATCAGCCAAACTTTATAAATTGAGGAAAAACATGCTTGCATAAAATAAAAATATATGTTTCTATTACATTTAATGCTGACAACTCAGAAGATATAGCTGTTTTTATTAAACCAATAATATTAAATTAGCCTCATTTGCTAGAGTTACCTAAATTATGTAAACTTGAATTCTTAGAACATTTGAATTACTGCCTATAAGAATGTATTTTGAGCACATTGAAAGTATTAGAAATCTAATTTTTTCAATATCTGGGAATTTTTAGGAATAGTCCTTTATTTGTATATGCCTTTAGCTAACTCTAAGTCAATTAGAATAAAACTCTTTAAAAATTTTCTTATAATCTAATTTAGTAATACCATCTGGAAGTAGGAAAATATTACATATCTATAGACACATAAACATACATAAAAACCTAGAAAACTTATAGCTTCTATTCCAAAATTTTAGCCCATACATCAGGGGTAAACCCAAAAATACAAAACTCATTTTTCATATAAAAAGAGCTCTTCTCTAATGGGTACAAATTCTTAGTTGATTTGAGTTCAAAATTGGGGAAAAATGAACAAACAAACAGAAAAGAGTAACAAACATGATTTTCTGTCATCTTTCATTCAAAAGAGAAAAATATCTATAAACCATTTAATTCACTTACAGAGAGAGCCAAATTATCTAACTACAAAACCAAAAAAAAAAAAAAAAATCCATCACCAGAAATCAACTAAAGACTCAAAAAAAAAAAAAAATCAAAATCAAAATCAAATTCTTACCATGCTTCCAACAGACAAGAGTCCGGACATAGGACCAGGATCAGGACTCACCTTTAGACCCCTGGGTTGCCAGCCAGGAATGGAGCACAAAAGGCTCCAGATGGCCTTATTACCTGGCTGGAGCAGACGGGAATCTGGAGGCAAGGTGCCATCCTGAGGCAAACTGTCAAAGACAAAAACCAGACAAGTTAGGAGACCAAAATGAGGGAGACTATCACAATAGGAGTATCAACCCCAGTCTAAATATCTTCGGAGCACCTCTACTCTTATAGACGTTTGCAAATGAGGTGGTTTTACACCCTGGCTTTGCAAGCTGCAGAAATAAGCCTTATTCATCAAAACAGGAAATGGTTTTTCCCAAATATGGCTAGCTTGCGACCTTCGGAGAGCAGAGAGTTTTAATCTCTGTTAATCAACCATGAGCTAAAGAACAGGATGTGAAAGTGTCTTGTTTTGCCTTGTCAGCACATTCAGACCAAAGGGGGAAGTGCGTGGGGTTTTGTCACACGTGATCAAAGATCTTGGAGCCAAGAGCTTCGAGCGGAAGTAACAGCACGTGATCAAAGGTCTCGGAGCCAAGAGCTTCAAGCGGAAATAACAACACAGGAAATGAGACTTCTAGCCCCCCCTGAAGAGAGGCTAAATCCTTCCTCAGCCCAGTGGGCTCTTCTACATGGAATACACTCACTTTCCATGCCCCCCACCCCGCCACGCACACGCACCTCCTTACATGTAGCCTCTCTTCCCCTCTTAACACTTCTATCCACGTCTCTCCATTTCCAGATGCCAGCCCACTCTATCACCCAATCCCTTCAAGGCTACTGCGATACCACCTAAATGGTTTCCTGCCTTCCTGACTTTTCTCCCACAATTCAGTTTCCAAGAAGCAGTCAAAGTGAAATGAGGTGAAAACTGATTTTTTACTACCCTGTTCAAAAGTTTTCAGTCTCTCCCTGTTACCTTTCCAAAATGGTCTACACTGCATAGCACAATGTGCAAGCCTTTCACATTCTGGCTCACCTCTTCTTTTGCCAGCCCTGAGCAGACTCTACTCTCCAGCTCTGTTGAACACTTGCAGTTCCCAAACAGCCCATGCTCTTCTCCACGTCTAGACCCTTGTTTGTGTTTTCCTTTCTGCCTCCAATGCCCTCTCTCCACCTGGCTACGTCCTTAAGGACATGCGGGCTAAGTCCTGCATGTATACATGAGGTTTAGATGACACATACTCCGGGCTCGCCCCTGGCCCCACCTGTTCTCTCAGCCTTCCCAAATCTGAATGGGCTGCAACTTCTCCATTCCATACTCTCTTCTTTCATAGTACTTACTGTACCATTTGGAAAAGTGCTCTTTGCCTGTCTCTGCAAATAAATGAGAAACTCCCTGAAAGTCAAGACTATGTGTTCTTTATTGATTTTTCATGGCAAGAGTGATGGGGGGGGGGGGTGGAGGGGTTGTGGTAGTGAGTGGGCATCATTCCCAGAAGTCAGTGCCTGATGTATCACAAACATGCAGCGAACCCTTGTGAGATTATTAAGTGGGTGAACTTACCGTGCGCCGTGACAATTGGACAAGATGGTGGGATGATACAACATATCGCACAACCGTGTTGGGGAAACAAAACAAGCTTCTGTGAAGCAATTAGAAAAAGCTGAGGACTACATGGGGTAGAATATGAAATTGATTTATTTTTTTAAAAAATGTGTCACACTTTCACAAGACCTAATGAACGTGTGCATGCACCCACCAGCCGCCTTAGGGGTCTGGATGTGCGCTTATTTGGGAGTCGCCTCTCTTCACTCAAAAACGGGAAGGAATTCCTCTCTAGATCCTGCTTCCAGAAACAGTATCTGAGCAAGCTGCATTCTGAAATCCATTTCGCTCCTTTTTAGTTAAGCACCACGAATATCCTCCCGGCTTTCATGACTAGGGAATGCACTCCCCAGAATCAAATTTACAATTACAACGATCCTGGCACCACACAGTGTCCTGTGCATACACAAGACTTGATAACTTTTTGCTGAATCAGTGACCTGCAGAAGAGTTTCCCGACCCCCTCGGGAATGATTGTGATTTTCTTAATTTCCCTGATTTTCTTCTGCTGAAACATTCCGCTTGCAATACTGCTCATGATTATTCAGACCATAGTCAAAAGGAAAAAAAAAATCTTTACCCTGAGTAACCATATTCATAAACATGAGTTACGGAGTCTGAAACATTTTCCAAAGGAGCGTGCTCTGAACCTGCAGAGCGGCACCACAGGTAAACTGCCTTTTAAAGAAACTGCATCTCAGCAGAAGATATTCATGAGAATACGGAAGTCCTGAGGTTGAACCTGTCTGTCTTAATTTGGGCTCCCCCAGAAGCAGATCCTGACACAGGGTTTATTGCAAATAGACGTGGAATAAGATCCCAGGAAATATCAGTAAGGGGATGGAGAATGGGGACA